AGGCCCTTCCTTTTCTGAACTCCACTTAGACATCTGGCGATTCTCTCTCCATATATGATTGGAGTCTATGCTACAGAATTTTGACCATAATTTTGCTTGTGTGGGAAGCTAATGCTATGGTTCTATAAGTACTGCAATCTTTTGTGTCTCCCTTCTTGTGGATGGGGATGTATATTGATAGTTTCCAATCTGTTGGCCACTGTTTTGTTTTCCGTATCTGTTGGCATATTTTGGTTAACACTGGAATTGATTCTCTTTCTGTGGTTTGAAACAGTTCCATTGTGATATCATCTGTTCTTTGTGATTTACTCTTTCCAGTTTCTCTAAGTGCCACTTCCATTTCACTTTGCAAAATTTGGGGTTCATCTTCATATGGTTCTTCATTCCATGTGTCATTCATTTTTTTGGTCTCTTTTATATAGCTCTTCTCTGTATTGCTTCCATTGTCTTTTTATTTTGTCTTGATAGTTTAGTACAGGGGTAGGCAACCTGTACCCTTTAAGGGCCGAGGGACTTCAGCTCCCAGAATCCCAGGAGCTATTGGCCAACATGGGACTATTGGACAACATGGCTGAGGATTCTGGGAGCTGAAGTCCCTCTGCCCTTAAAGGGGATTGGTTGCCTACCCTTGGTTTAGTATGTTCCTCTTCTACTTCTATTGTAGAGCATCCCCATCCTTGGTTTGAATGTCCCTTTGAGTTTGTGGATCTTGTGGAAGAACTATCTTGTTTTTTCTTTTTTGTTGTTGTCTTCTATTTCTGTGCATTGTTTATTATCCAATAATAAACAACTACCTGGGTGCAAAAAAGATGACCTTCTTTCTTCTAAGCTTATGAGTGGATATCGTAAAGTGATTATCACCCGGAAGTTATTATGGTATATTGATGAAATTTTGTCAGTGTCATCATTGGTCCCTAAGTCCATGATGATGAAAAAATCAGCTATTGTGTCCTTTATTTTTGTTTCAGGTTGTGCCAGAAGTGACTAAAGTTTAAGATGGAGAAGTACAAGGGGGTATTGTAAAGTAATAATGATCACCTGGAAGTTATTATGGTATACTGATGAATTTTCTTAGTGTCATCATCACCAAGTGACATTTTCTTTTCCCAAAAATGAAAAATCCATTGCGGGGGCACTGATTTGACAACACAGATGATGTTATTCATGAAATGGATGAGTGATTTAAGGCACAATCTGCAAACTTCTATAGTAATGGTATTCAGAGGGTCAAGAAACGCTGGGAAAAATGTGTAAATCTGGATGGTGACTACCTAGAGAGAAGTTAACAACTACAAATCAAAACATACTTTCTGTCAATTTTTTTAAAAGTTGATAATTAAAACTTTATGATACCCCTTACTATTTCTTGATTTAAAATCATATTTTATAATGAACAAAATTTTCATCCACCCCACGGATGAAAATTTGGCACAAATAATCTAAATTTGAAGTCACAGGCAGCTCAGTTCCACACAGCATGCTAATTAAGCAGATTTACATTTTGTCACGCTTTGAACATTTTAATATGGTTCCTTTGGTGATGGGAAGGGGCAAGGAGCTGGACAGGGCAAGGTATTGAAATTTCCCCTTCCCCTCCTATCTTGCTAAGCCTGGATCAAAATTCAGTCCTTAAGCAGTAGGTGAGGACAACCCACACAATGTGATTGAAAGCAGGAGCACATGTTCCTTAATCGGGGACATATATTTTCTGAAGCCTTCTCTCATATGTTAGGGCGTGGTTCAGCTTTCCCCTCTCCTTCCAAAGGGGATTCTTTCAATAATCCTCTGGAGGCAAGACTATGAAGCTTCTCCCTGGATTCTGGGTTTTTCCTGTTCAGTGTCTTCCTGGGTTTCATTGGAGGACCTACCATCCTTGGTTGGGCCAAGGCCATGCACATACAGACACGTGTGTGTATGTGCCTTCAGCTCATCTGTTGACTTATGCTGAGTCCATGAATTTTATAGGGTTTTCTTAGCAAGGTATATTCAGAGATGTTTTTGCCAGTTCCTTCCTCTGAAATACAGCCTGCAACGCCTGGTATTCATTGGCAGTCTCCCATCCAAGTACTAATCAGGGATGACCCTATTTTGCTTCCAGGATCTGGTTCCTTTTGGGTATTTAGGCTGCTTCTCTCTCTCTCTCTCTCTCTCTCTCTCACACACACACACACACACACACATATACTTCTAAATATATTATTTAACCACTTTACTATTGTTACATATCTTCTCAAAAATAAGAACCAGAAACTTGATCTTTAAAAGGCAGACGAATGCTGAAATTCTCAAAAAACTAATCTCCCTTGTCCGTTTGACATCCTATGTTTTCTGTACACCTGCAGAATTGTGATGTCCAAACTATCACATGTGTAATTTGCAAAGTGTGAGTGGAAAAACCAAGACAGATATGGTAGAATTCAAAGATATAGCCGTGTTAGTCTGTAGAATCAGTAGTAGAGAGATCTTGTAGCACCTTTGAGACTAACTGAAAGAAAGAAATTGGAAGCATGAGCTTTTGTAGACTTCATTCTATGAAAACTCATGCTGCCAATTTCTTTCTTTCAGTAAGGGCCATTGCAGACCGGCCCAAAGGGCCGGCTTGGGGATAGAGTTGTGGTGGGGCAGCTGCACGCTGGCCGGCCCAACCCCACGCCCACCATGACGCCATCCTGACTCCGCACGGCCATACTTCTGGCACCTGGTGTCAGGCCGCCCTCCCAGTGCAGCATTTAAACATGCCACTCCGAAAGGGCGCTGAAGAGCCACGGCACTGGCTCTTAGGGCAGCCTTTTGCTTCCCTTAAAAGGAGTGGCCTTTTCCCGCTCTTTTTGGTGCAGCAAAAGGGAGGATTGGGGCTGCGGTGTGGGATTGCTGTGGCCCCGATCTGTCACTTCTCGGGGCGGCTCAGTGCTGCCCCAAACACCCGGTCTGCATCAGCCCTTAGTCTCAAAGGTGCTACAAGGCAAATAAGGTTACAGTTCAGCTTCTTTTCCATCATGAATGAAGTCTGAAGAAGTTCCATGTAACTTCTGAAAGTACTTATGTGGAAAATAAATGTAAAACAGCCCTTGTCTTGGTTAATTATGAAGGGGTTCTTTTTTCTTTAATTGTATCAGTGGACACTAAGGGGGGAAGCAGACTGGTGGTACGGGGCCGCCCTGGGAAGGTGCGCCGCAGGACCGAGGCATCCCCACGCCTCGATCCTGCGGCACATCTTCCCCGTCCCTGAAAGGAGGGCTAAAATAGCGCTCCTTTCACAAGTCAGTGAAAATGCGCCGCAAAAGCTTGCGGCGCACTTTCACTGACTTTTCCGCCGCAGCGTGTGCAGATGCTGCGGCGGGAGGTTGCCCCCGAAGCGCCGGCCGTGCCAAGGGCTGGCGGCTCTGAGGGCAACCTCGGGAGGAGGAAGGGGCGCCGAGTGTGCAGCTGCCCCTCCTCTTCCTTGCCTCAAGGATGGCTCTATTAGCCGTATGCCGAGGCCCTAATTGAGGAAAACTCACTGGGAACACTGAACACCAGTCATTGAATTATCAGGTGGCAATTTGTGAGAGGAAGAAACCTGCAGGAAAATATATGATACAACAGAGCGGTTAATAGAGAGCACACCTGCACTGTTGTGTGCTTTTCTTGGCATGGCATTACAGGAAGACTGTTGGAAAAGCTAGGGATGTTCTCTAGGAGGGCACATGAGTAAATAACATTAAAACAAATCTCTAACACAATGCATCTCTGAGTGGAGGCTAGGAAAGGTTTCCAATAACTTTAGAAAGTGAGTGTTAAGAGATGAATTGAAATCCTTTTCAAAGTGCAGGGAAGACTTGAATGCGCAGTTTAAAAGCTTTGCCATATGCATGGGAGAACAGTAGAAAATTGGAAGAGAAACCTGCCAAGGCCACATAGAGGAGCTTAAATTTAGCATGACATGCAGCAAACACAGCCATGTGAGCTGCCAGATGTTTAGAAATGTGGGAGAAGAACAGGAAAAGAATTCTAGGTGGGGAAGGTTTTTAAAATTTGAGCTTTAAGGCAACCCAGTCATACGGTGCCAAGTTTTGGTGTGGAACGTCTGTTTCATGGCAGCCCTCAGGGCAAGTGTTGGCACATGCTGTACCATAGTGATGTTAAAACATGTTACGGGCAATCAGGATCTAACTTGAATGCATTCCTTGAAGATATGAGAAGCAGTGATGCCAAGATTTGCTACAACATGTTGGTTGTTGCCTCTAGCTACAAATAAGAAAGAAACAAAATATTACTAAGTGTCAGGCACTGGATAGCTATGGGATATGTTTAAAGAAAGGAGACAACAATTATTTGCATCTTGCTAGTTTGTGCTTGTCATCTTTTCAAGAGCAGTTTACTATTGATTTCCCTTTGGGGGGAAAGTAAAAGTTCTATGAGGAGAAGCAATCTGCAAACTTAATTTTACGGAACAGAGGCATTTTGTAATGTCCTTCCACATCTCAGCTGTGGTAGGGCACTCAGCATTTATGTTCTTAAACAAAGACAAAAAATAAGCTTTCAGGTTGAGTCAAAGATTTTTATTGGACTATATAGGTGTGCTTTTCATGAAACACTTTTTTGAGTATGATGGGTTGTTTTAGTCAGTCAGAGCCAGTGTGGTGTAGTGGTTTGAGCATAGGACTTGGACTCTGGAGATCAGGGTTCGATTCTCAGCTCAGCCGTGGAAACCCACTGGGTGACCTTGGGCAAGTCACACACTCTCAGCCCTATAAAACCCCATGATAAGTTCGTGTTAGATTCACCATGAGTAGGAAACAACTTGAAGACAAACAACAATATTGTATTCAGTCCCTTTTCATATATAGGGAAAATGGTACATAACTCAGCAAAAGATGATCACAGTTTAAATTTCCTTGAGGTTAGTGGCATTTTTCTATTATATCCCATTGGATTATGTGACACCCAGAAGTGTACAACCCTGACAGGATCATGCCCTTGATCAGATTATGGTTGCTTCTGCTTTAATAACAATTCTGCAGGCAACTTCACTCTAATACTTCTGAGGCTGGCCATAAACAAAATATTATATTAGGCTGGTGCTCTGCCTCTGGTTCTATCAAATCTCATTAAGCTAGGTTCAGTTAATACTTTGAAGGGGGATTAGGGTGGGTTGCATTGCCGAAGGTGGCCTCATTTTCTTTCTGATGCTGTATTGTAGAAGTCTGGGAGGATGCCCACTACTATTTAGACTAAAACCAATTGGAGACAATACCTTTTCAAAACGGGAAATATCTTAAAATAACAACAGAGACCAAATGCCAATTGAAGTAATTAATGAACTCATGAGAATCAATGAATATTCTTACTCATTTATACACTGCCATTTAGCCAAACCATTTTAGGATTAAAATCTAGAGGTTTGGACTAGGGCTCTGGGAGACCAGGGTTTAAATCCCCTCTCAGCCATGGAAACCCACTGGGCAACCATGGGCAACTTTTAGTCTTAGAAGAAGGCGATAACTAATCTCCTCTGAACAAATTCTGAAAAGAAAACTGTGAGAGGGTTGCCATAAATCAGAAATGATTTGAGGGCACACAACAGCAGCAGCAACAACAAGAATGACAACTCAAATTTACAACATGAGTTGAAGACATGTATACAGAAAATAAACAGTGAAGAAAGAGAAAATGAATATCCCTGCTTCTTTTCTGTCCCTTTGTTTCTCAGCCTGCTGGAATGGCGGCAATTGAGGAAAGGCCAGAGACAGTTGGCCAGCCAACAAAGGAGACAGAATAGTCTTGTTTTTTGTCCTCTGATGTTTCAGCTGGCTATAGGCATTTATTCAGCGTTCCCAAGGCTTAGCAGGAAAAAAAAATTCCTGGTAGTAATATTGGTTCTGTTCCAGTGACATCACTTTGAAATAAATGCTTGTTCAGCTCCTTGCTTTCATGAGCCAGTTTTCTGGTGGCTTTTTTATCTGTGCAAGAATATCAGACATCTGCACAGATAGAAAAGCCACTAGATAATGAGGCAGTGACTTCAGTTGTATGCATTTTAAAAGGGGGAAATAGATCAGAGCTCCCCCATGCTAAGGAAAACTGGCTCATGAGAGCAATGTGTGATTGTGTGAAGGTGGGAGAGAGAAAGATGAGGAGAGAGCTTAGCCAAGAGTGTGAATATGAAAATACTTTGTAGATAAGATGGAGATATGCTTTGTGAATGTAAAGACAGAGAAATGGAAAAGTATTTCAGTCAGACAGGGGGATGATGCATCACTGGTATAGATTTGTGACTCAGAGTAAACAATGAGCCTGACAGTTCCTTCATATGCATCTTTTCACCTTTGTTTAGGTGGCCTTGTGTAGGTCACTGGTCTTCTAAACCATCTCCCTCCCTGGAGTAATCAAACTGACCTAGTGTTTAAGGAATTACTGAAATGATATATATGAAAGGCTTTTAATATTTAACATGCACAATTATTATTTCCTCGTAAATGAGTGATACTCATATACACACACGCACACATGCACACACACACACACACACACACATACACAACGTATATACACAATATATATATATATATATATACACAATGCAGAGACACACACCAAATGAAGCTAAAATTATAACTATAGCCTTAATGTGCCTGACTGTTTTTTTATATAATTTATTTTTCAGACTTTAGCATAAATTATTTTTCAGACTGGATATGGCTGATTGACATCACAACCAATTTTGCTAGTGGACCTCTTCACCATAAGGATGGGACAGGCTTGTCTAACCTAAAAATCTTTCCATTTCTCCTTCAGTCACATGTATGCTTTTAATTTGAACAGCATATGCTCTAGCACGATCTTTCATTGCTTTTAGCAATTCAACCCTCCCAGCAAAATGTATAGTTGTCTCTAGCACCTGTCCATTATTATCCTTTATGAGTATAGAGGCCAGGAATTTATTTCGCATGTGCAAGCATTATCTAATTAAAGCAGTTAAAAAACAAACTAGATTATACTTGGGTGTTCACCTAACTCTATACTTCTATCCATATCTTCTCTGCTGATACATAGTAAAATGCATATGGAATGAGAATTGCTTATGGAAGCCAAGACATACCAATCTGCTATTTCTTCAGTAAAGGATTAGTCACCCCCCTGGGAACACTGTGAAGCCTAGTTACCAAAAAATCCAAATGATTGTGGCTAATTGCATGTCTTGGAAATGTTTATGCATATCTACTGTTCAAAAGTAGCTTCTTTGAGCTGTTTGACATTACTTAAGTGCCATTACTCATGGGTTTATTGTAACAAAGAGCTTGAATCTAACTATCAAAGAAATGTGAGGTTACTGCCTATGGCTTTGTGAACTGGACTTTACTTTTACCAACCAGTAGTCATGTCTTAGCACCTGCATCACCTGGGTCTAGGCTAAGGGTATTATGTAATAATACTCACACTGGGAAGATACCATAATCCCATAGACACAACTCAAGGTTATCAACATTTGGTTTCAAAAATACTGCGGTGCCAGGAGGTGGAGTCAGGATAGAACGTCAGGCAATTTGGGGTAGAGACAGGATGGAATTGGGAAACTACAGGGTGGAGCTTAGGTAAAATCTTGAATTTACTCCTCGCAAAAGTTTACTGCCACATACTGGTCCAAACATTTAGATGGCTTTTAATGAAGGATAGGCAGACCTCTTGTTCTCCTGTCCCATTTGTGTTTTGCTGTTTTTAAATCAAATTAAATTCTGTTTCTGCCGCATAATAGTTGTGTACTCTTCATGTACTGGTTTGCTAAGATACATATGATGACTTGTAGTTAAATATACACCATTTGTATGAACTTTCTTTCATATTTTTAGCCTTATTCACCCCTCTCCCAGTTTGTCTGTCTCCTTGCCAGTCTTAGCTCTGCAGCCCTTCTCCTTTTTAGCATCAATTTTAACTTCCTTGTATGTTCTTTTGTACCGCTTCTGTATTTTTTCTTCTTCCCTTGTCCATTGATATACCTGGTTTCAGTCTGGTTTTAACCCAGTTGTTTCTGGTCTAATCTATATGCTGTAAATTTATTTTCTTTGAATATCTGCAGACAAATACCTATGCACAACTAATTACATTTCTTGTTATGCTGTTATAAGCATATTGGACTAAGAAGGGAGTTCAACTGTGTCTTAAGATCCAAAGTAGCACATAAAATGTGGAAAAAGACAGCCCAATCCATTTATTCATCTAGAGTTGCTTCATAAATTTCAAAAACTGTTTTGTTAAAGCACCCAGTTTAGCAATGTTGACACTGTGAGAAACATGGTCCGAAGTGCTTCTGAATATTTGATATTATTATGAATATTATATGCCTGTGCCTCTTTGATAGTGAAATCTTGGAGATATAGGAACATAAGAAGGGACCAAGATTGAGTGTAATTCGCCAGGAGATTAGAAACATTACTTCTTTAGTAAACTTTCTTGCTTACCATTTCATTGCTTGGCTAATGAAATGCACCCAGAAAGCTTGTCAGAGTGGTCTTAAAAATAATATTCTTCCCTCATCCCCCATGACAGTGTTGTTTCTTAGCAATTCACGTTTTGCAGCATACTGCTTCTGAATCAGAGATTCCATCTAGCCATCGTGAATACTTGTCATTGATAGGCACATTGTTCATGAGATTGTATAATCCTGTCTTAAGGCCTTCTAAGGTCTTGTCTATCTCCACACCTTATGGCAGGGGTCGGCAACTTTTTTTGCCGATGGGCCGGGGGGGTAATGGTGCTGGAGGCAGGCGTACGCACTTGCCCCCCCGCATGTGACGCCATTTTGAAAAACAAAATGGCGGTCGCCACTCCCCCCCGCATTGCATGCGCATGACGACGGAGGCCCCCCAGGACGGCTCCCTCGGCCGCACTGGGCCTCTGAAAGGCCCGCCGCCGCCGCGGGGGTCCTCCAGGGTGCCATTTTGGAAAATGGTGCCCTGGAGGACTTCTGCGGCCGCAAAAGATGATGGCGGCAGCAGAACCAGGCAGGGACCAGTCTGAAGCCCTCCGCAGGCCGCACCCGGCCTGCGGGCCGTAGGTTGCCGATCCCTGCCTTATGGTGTTCAGTTCCATGCATTAAATATGTGTTATATGGAAAAAAATTTTTTTATACCTACTGCTAATAAGTCTCACTGAGTGACCAAAGGTTCTAGTATCAGGTTGGAGGAAAATGCTGTTTATTTACTTTTCAGCGCACACAATTTATAGCTGTTGTTTTCGTAAAAGGTTGAAATGCTTTAGCTTTTCTCTTAAGAGAGGTGATCCAATGCCTTGATAATTTGGGTTGCTCATTTTTGTTCATCCTAAAATACATTACAGAGCTAAATAGTATATACTGTACAGTTTTAGCCCTACTTAGGAGTACACCTGTTAAAATGAATAAGACATGTTAATTACAACTAAAGTAAATCCCATTGATTTCAATAGGCTTGTTTTTGGTTGGCTCAATGCTGGACTTAGTCCAATAAACTAAATGTGTTTTTACCATATATTTGCATAAAGGCATTACAGTACTGATAATTTTATGTTCAAGTATTTTCCTTTTTATTCCTGGTGCCAGATTTAGCTTTTTGCATAGCTGTACCCCATAGAATTGATATTTTCACTGAGGTATCCACCATGACCCAAATAATTGTTTTCTCGGTCAATCACAGCTAGTTCAAACTCCATTGCCCCCACATTATATGCA